AAGGACCGCATGGCTGTGGTGGCTAAACAGCTGAATGATTTCATCTACCTCTACAACAGAGAAACAGATCTTTATAGTGAAGGAGGAGAGACACCCAACATCGTGCCAGGCAAGCTTTACCAGCAGTTTCTTGCTGCAGCTAAGTGAGTTATAACCCACTTCTTCCTACTGGTCTAAGAGATAAAGTGTTTAATGCTACATGGAAGGCAGAAATTGAAGAAAATTATGAAAAGATTTTCTGTACAGTAATCAAAATTTGTGCCCAAAAAATATTGTGTAGAATCTTGAGTTGGAATTGACAGATACACCCTTGAGAATGCAATTAACCTGTCAAGAGTGGCGTGTCATACATGCTCAATGTACCACCACCATCCACAGGTGTGGAATAACTCTCATTGCACACAGATGACAAATCTTGCTTTATGCTTCCATCTCGTGAATAGCCAGACTGCATGAATTATACTTACATGGCCTTTGATATGAAGGTCTACGCTTTCATTTGTGTGTGTGCACGCACCCAGGCATCTGAATTATCCTTCCTGCAAACTCATAATTGTGAGGGGATGCAATAACATCTCATTTCTAAGAAATAAAAACAGAATTTCTTATTCATTGTGGGGAAAATGTATTGTTAATTTATTTATATCATTACAGTGAGCAAGATCTTGAGGAAGTTCTGTCAGTACAGACACGGCTGTACAAGTGTACACATTTGTACGTGGGTCGTTCAGGTTCCAGTCCTAACAGCATGAGGCCATTTGGTTTACTTCGATCACTGCCGTACACTCCAAGAGGTTCGGACAAGACTGACTGTGAATGTAGTGCATCACATCATCGGAAAACACTGCCATGTCTGTCTAAGAGTGGATCAGCTATAGGAGCGTCGGCCACAACACAGCAGAGCTCAAGTTTGCCTTCCACTGCTGCTGGTACAGGCAAGAGGCAGAGCCTTAAAATATCTCGAGCACTGTGATAATCATTGGTAAGCCTTTTATTTGTTGATGAAAAATGCAGGGCTAACTTGTTTTTGTAACATTTGCCTTCAAGTTAAAGGAATAATGCCTCTATTTAAAATAATTAGTCGAAGGAAATTAAATAGCTTTTGGTAGGAGGTATTGTGTAGGTTGCATGAAACAGTTAAAAAAATGGGTGTTTTCATGAAAACAGGAAAAGGGTGTGAACTATGTACTCTGGAATATCTGCAAATGAGTTTATTGCTACAATTTTGAAAATTAAAAACATAAAATATGATACAGTTCAATAAGTTACATAATTAAAGAAAAATGGTTTCTATGTGTACCATTCATTTCAGTATTCAGAAACTGCATTTTGCCTTCATAGTGTATTTATGGATTTTATATGATTCTAAGAATAAACAGCATTCATTAATTGATCTGCATATTGGAGAGACATTATGTTTTCTGTGAGGTAAATTCTGAATTCTTTAATATTATTGAGATAAACTTCATACATAAACAGGCTGAAGAAAGTTTGCTATTTTGTATGATTTCAGTTTCTTTATATGTCGTTTTGGTATACCGGATTGCCAGTTAGTTGGACACTGATATACTGTAAATATTTACAACCTAGAAAAGCAAGTTGTGGTAGCTGCCTTATAGGTGCTTCAGCATCAAAAATACCTTTGTCTCACCAGGACTGTAACAGGACAGATTTGTCATAGTGACATAATAGTTTGACGTTGGTACAAGACTTGAGTTATGTTTTTGCTTCTGAATTGTAGCAATAAACATATTTATTGTTATGTTTCATTATGCAGACTGTTCCAGTCTTCTGTCTGTTTTATTTTGTTTACCAGCTGTTGTCAGAGACAAATTATCTTTTCCTTTTTACCTCTTTTTCTGATTGGACTTTTGAGCTTTAATACCTAATTATGGTACTGCTGTTTGCAGTTGAGAAATGCATTTTGAATGGGTAAATCCTTCTTGGCATACATACTTTCGAATCACTCTGTGTTGGTGCACAGCATATTGTAATGTCCATTTTGTATTTATCCTCCTCCTTTTCTGTTCTGGAAAAACTTCTGTTGTTTCCTGCCACATGAGGCATTGCATTTAATTTTCTCTTCAAGAAACATATATAATCAGCTTTATGATCTCCATGAAAGTTATTGCTCCTTGATCTGAATTTATATTCCTGATTTTGTTAATGGTTTTCTTTTTGTGTCAAACTCCACAAGTAACCGTATTACTTGAATTATGCAATTGTACCATTGCCTCTTTTAAGTGCACCAACATTTTAACTTGAAGTAAAATCTGACATCTGGGAATGAGATTAGATTCTTGTAACTTGTCGTAACAGACCTAATTATGGCCTTGAAATGTCTCTGTACATATTGCTGCTGTTTCACATATACCTTCTTTCTTAAAAGATTTGTCATGCAAGCAGTAGCCTTTGTTTGTCCCTCTTTTCAGCAATTTCACATATACCATAGGATACAATGATGCAAAACTTGAATGTCATCAGCAGCATAAGTGGTAAGAAACAAGTGCCAGAACTAACTCATCTTGATTAGTTTGTCTCTGAACACAGATGTCAAGGCAGTTCAACAGTTGAATGATATAGTTTAATATAAATGAAAGCTAGTGCCTACTTATACAGGTAGTACATTGAATCCTTTACCCTGACGCATGAGGAAAGAAAATTTTAAGTGTATTATTCCAATTTGAATGTATATTGGTTATTATGTATTTGATATCTTATTCACAGAAATATTGATATTGGCCTAATGACAAGTATTTTGGTTCTTCACAATTTATAAGGTAATGATGCATTGAATTATATGAAGTTCAAATTAAATAAGTGATATCTGTTGTAGTAAAACCTAAAATAAGGAGAAAAGAATTTAAATAATTGTAGATATTAATAAAAAGTAGGCCATAGATTAATTTAAAATGCTTCTGTGGAGAACTGAGAAGAAAATCCATCTTGAACAGCATTTTGCTGTGTTTAGTTTCCGTCCTGTAGGAAGGATATAAACTATGTAGTTTTTGGCAGATTTTAGAGAATGAATATTAGAAGTTGGTAGAATGTTGATTTAAGAACATGTATAAAAGTGAAGCTTTCACGGTGACTGAAGTTGATGAAAGACTCTCGGGCTACAAGCCGCGGCAGGTGGCTGAATGGCTCTCGAAATGTTGGCAGAGGATATGGTTTATTCACCATTCAGCCACCTGATGTGGCTTGTAGCCCAAGAGTCTTTCATCAACTTAAGAACATGTCTTTATAATGCAGAGCACAAGCATGGTGATGACTTTATTTTATGCCATTTTTGGTAAGTTTTGTTGTGATACATGTTCATTTAACTCCTGAAGATGATATAATAAATTATTAATTATGAAAACGAGGATGAAGATGGTTCTTGAAACGTTGGTGTTTTCTTCATTAAGCTACCTTGCACTGCTGGTAGCCTGACAAGAATTTATTATACTTAGTCGCCGTGAAAGCTTCAGATCATACATCTTGAAGCTGATGATTATTTATTGTCCACAGTTTTGTATATTTCACATTTTTGTTTATCTTGTGCATTTTTTCTCAGACTTCATTGTGTTCTTGAACACTTTTACATGGTTAAAGAAAGTAAAACTATCTTAGTCATCTGTTCACTAATGAATATGTACTTGTCTCCATCTTCAGATGTAAATTATTAAATTTAGAATGAAGCTAAGTAAATGATTAAGGATTTTTAACATTCCTAAACTGTGTAAAATTATTCTGTGTTCTAAACCAGAGTGAGGTTAGAGCAGAAATGTACATTTTGAATAAAAGTGCTCTATAACACAGAATTGTGTGGACATGTAGGTTACTTTTAAGAACCCATGTATGTTTAACACTTCATTTAGCTTCCATGAAGAATTAAGGCATTGAATGAGTGGTAATGTAATTTCTCATTGCCATAATGAAATATTCCTTGTGTTTTGACATAGCAACAGCATCATGTATTACAAGTTCGATTATGCCCAATTCCATAATTAAACTCTTACTACTGTATACACAACCGTAAATCAACAAAGAATCTAGTCTAAGTAAGGTTCTGGTTATGCAGTCACCTTCTTACTTAATATAAGGTAACTTTTCTTCTAATTAATGTAACTTGTACTTAAAAGACCATGACTGTGATGATATTTATAATTTTGAAAATTATTGAGATTACTCTGTATGAATAGTGGTGTAATCAGTTCATGATATGATACTGGATTTTTTAAATATTCCTGCATTGGTTTTGCAAATGCCCTAGTGCTTACTTGAAAACCATTTACATTTTCATGATGACTTTGAAATGCATTGTATATAGTTAGGTCACTAACAGAAATTTGATTTCATTAGAAAGTACATATTTGCTTATGTGGTTTTATTAATAAATCAGTCATATATTTGCACAGTCATATTTATAACAAGAAGTTTTATTAAGATCTTGTCATACACATGTTCCTTTACATATTACCATCTGTGTAGTGAAGGGATTCAGAAATGATATATATTTAAAATTTTTAAAAAATCTGAATTTTCTCAGACATAACCTCACACTTTTGTTCCATCATATTTGTAATTTTCAGTACAGACAAAAAATGTTTCATACAAAATTTGCCAGTACAGATGTGATCTATGAATGTTTTAAATTGCACGTGCTTAGGTGTAGCAGTTCATTGGTTATCACTGTCTGATTGAAAAGTAAAATACATTTAGTAAATAGTAGTTGTCTCATAATTTTTCTTTCTGCATCAAATAGGTATTATCAGAGTCATAAATTTTAAAATTAAACAGTTGTATTTCTCTAATGTCAGAGTTCTCATGGACTCCCTGTTTATATTATTTATGGTAGGAAATTACTGCGAAAATAAGATTGTTTCTCTCTGTGGCATGAGGCTTACACAAAGTTTTGTAACAATTTATCTGGTGATTCAAAAGTTTTTGGTATGGAGAGATACACACACACACACACTATGCTGCCATGCTGCACTATAACAATTTATCTGGTGATTTAAAAGTTTTTGGTATGGAGAGATACACTCACACACACTATGCTGCCATGCTGCACTATACCACATCATGCCACGCTAAATCACACGAAACTACACTGCAGTACACTACAGTGATTCACATCACATTATACTATGTATCGCACCCACTGAATTGCACACACACTGCACATGAATATGATAATATACTGTAAGTCTTAATGTTCACAAGAAATGAGGGTAAAAGGCTGAAAGTCCATCTGCACTAAACATTCAGCAAGACCACAAAGGTTGCCTGCAATACGTTTGTGTTTGTTTTTGTGTGGATGAGTTGTGTATGATTGCTAACATTAGGAAGCAGTGGTAAATTTACAAATGACACCATTTTGTTAATATTATATGCACAGTAAAGTACTTGTGATTTGTGGCTGATGAAAATGTTGTGTGATTAAAAGTTAGAATGTTTCTATTGTGAATTGTATTGGTACATTGCTTCACAGTGATGTTTTGTTATGTGAATTTTGTGAATGTTGTTAATGCACATTGACAAGGTGGTTTTATGTCAGCTTGTTAAAACTGCTTTGATGCAGTACATTTTGCTATGTCATATTGTCATGTTAAAAGTAATGTATTTTTTTTGGTAATTGAAGAGGTCTACAGGTAATGAAGACCACAGTAGCTTGATTTTAAACCTTTTATATGTATCAGTGATTATTTTATAATCAGATATTGTATGAGTATTTAAAGTATGTGTGGGAATATGTGGTATTTGTCTTTGCCTACATATATATCTTTGAGAATTTCTGACTAAAAATAAAAGTCAGCTGATTTTATGAATGGACAAGCCTATCTATTATAAGAATTGGTATCCAATGTGGGGCTGTCATATGTATGTGATCTAAGCAGTATTTGAACAGGGGGGAAACAGTATAATAAGGCATTTTGATTCCCTATAAAAAGTCAGATGAACCTTCTTAAATCAAGAAGCCTTTCTTCAGAAAAAAATGTAGAAACCTAGCCCAGAAAAGGGACGTAAATTATGTACTTTTTCATCTTGGCCACATGTTATCCACAATCAAAATGCAAAATTCTTCACTGTTGTATGGCCTGGTATTAAAAATATCAGTACCTAGCTGTTACTTTGTGTCTTTAAGTGGAGGCAGCCATGTTCTCTGAAATTCTAGCATACCAGACCTTTTATCACAATAAATTAATGTTCATGTTCACCACTGAAAATATAAATACACACCACAAATATAAAATCACATAGCTGGAAACACCACAGTGTTTTGTATTGAATGGTTGCATTTCTTTATTCAGAATGTAATCACCTAATGAAAAAGTACATTGTGGAAATTAGATTATGTTAATTAATTAGTTATAATAATTTATTCAGCAGAACCACCCAGCCTTTATTACAGAGAAATTTACTGTGATTTTATAGTAAAATTTCTGTTCCTTTGTTATTAACAAATCTTTGTGGATTTGTTTTTTGATAGTATTTATTTGTATTTATCATTTTTTATTTACATGTTTATAATATAATACATTTTGTGATATACCAGATATTTTTTCTGTGTTTCTCATAAAGCTGGATAATCTTCAAATAGGTGAAGGATGCTTTTTTATTATGAGTAACCTTTTATTGAATATATAAAAAGTGTTGCTATACCAGTTAATTATTAGGTAAATACATGTCATACTGCTACTGTTCATTCACAGTAGCATGTTGATTTTTTTAATTTTACATTTCTGTTACAATATTAGTTATTTCTTGTTGTTTCGTTTGTTTATATTGCTGCCTAAGATCCTTGCAGACAGTAGAACTTGGTTGTTGATTTTAGACACTAAAATTTCTTATTAACATTTGCTCTTCTGTTTGGATATATGTGGGATTTCATGCTTCTAACATGGTGGGGCAAGGTTCTGTGTGAAAGTTCTACAGTTTGAAGTAAGGACAAAGCAGAATGACTTACTGATTATTCTTTTCCTCTCCAAGTTCTGTTGTAATAACTCTTATTAAGTTTGAAAAGGTTTTTGTGCTTATTTGCTTTTTGGTTGTGTTTTTTAGTTATTTATTGGTGCTAACAGTTAAATGTTGTGTACTTTGCTTTGTGATAATTAACCAGTTTTATGTCAACTATGCAGCTTATCCTACTGAAAGAAGATTGAAACAAGTAAAGAGTGCAATACATTTTTCATGTTTTTCAGCATGTATATAATACATAGTGAAATGATGTTTCTGTTGTTACCATTTATAAGTCTCTTTTGATGGGATAACTGTTTAATAATAAAACAGAACCTAAGTGTCAGCATCGAGATACAAATGCAGTATTGCAATCTTAGCTTATAATTCTCAGATATTTTTATCATTGAATCTCAGGAGTCAGAAATACAGTACTTTTAATTTTCATTTCATGCAGTCAATACAGAATCTTTGTTGTGAATATTTATTTCTCATGATGATTCCCCTTCCTACTGCCCACTTACACTATAGGCCTACAATGACCATAAATTATTATCCCAAGATAGTTGCATGAAAAACATGAAATCTAATAGCTATTAAATTAAGAAAGTGGAGAGCTTTAAGTACTTAGGAAGAAAAGTGGTGACAAATGGAAGTGGGGGACTTGATCAGGAAATTGAAAGTGCCAAAGTAAAGTGTTATATGCCATTAGTAACATATGCAGTAGAAGCTTGGGCTTGGACAAAAACAGATAGTGGATTAATGGCAGCAGAGATAAGATTTTTAGGAAGTACCATATAGATGGAAAAACCAAAACAATATTATCCTCCCATCTCATAAGTATATAACTATAAACAGCAACAAGCAATTGCTGTGTAAATGGAAAACTAGTTACTGAATAATAAAATGAAGGAAGCATATAGGAAATATTTATAGATCTGAGCCACTGATCACTATACAGAAAACAAGAAAATGGGCCACAGCTGCGAAAAAGCATGGATAGTACCGGCTAAAATCATCTCAAATTATCCAATAACTTTAGTATATGCCAAAAACTGGTTTGTATGCCCGCTACTTACGACCTACTTACTCTCCGAAATCACTCTGTTTATATCTTTGTCTAGATGTATTATAGATAATCCGTGTTTATGATCACCGGTTCAGGCTACAAAATGAATTGTGTTAACTTTCTAAAGCTGTGTGATTAACACATGTATTTGTTTTACATTTTTAGTGTCTTAAAACGACATACAGTTGCACAATTGAACGGTATAGGTTAGTTATATTAATTATTTTCGACTATAAATTTTCATCGTAGTACTGTGCGAACATGGCGTTCATAGATTGAACAGGTATAACCACAAACAAGTTATTAGATGACAGTGCAGTGTACGTAAATGGGTGGTATGCGTGTGAAATAGTTGTACAGAAAATGAAGTTATTTATATTTACTTGTGAAATGTCCGCGTTTCTACACGGTGTGAAGGATGTCAACGTGTGATGATAATCACGAAAATTCATAATTTCATCCAAGATCATGTTCAGCAAGAAACTACATGCGGACGTCAAGAAGTCTACACTTAAGATTCAAGATTTGAAGAAAGATTCTGCTACACGTCTCAAACACCTGAAGATAATTTTAGGTGAGATTTTGACTGTAGTGGACTGTGTTTGTAAATGTATTTAAATTGAGAATAGTAGTTTTATTAATCATCGGTATTGTACAGTTTTATGGAAACATTTTGTAGTTTTCTGCTCCTTGGAATGTGACAGTTAATACATAGCAAGACCTGTACCTTGTTCCCATTTTAGATTTGTCGTGTAAGTCATGTTGGTGTAAATTATCATTCCATTGTTTCTTTTTCCAATATTACCAGTGCTGATCATCATTCATATACCTTGACCTTTCTGTGTCGGAACAAGATAACTGTCTTTCCTCTCTTTTCTGTGTTCGTTCAAGTCTTCTAATTAAAGGGGATTTTTGTGGCCTGTCTCAGAGTTGTATTGTATTTGTTTGTGTTAGGTAGACTTGCTTGTTGTTAGATTTGAATTTCTATTGGATTTTTCAAATGCAGTGTTGTCTGTCAGGGGAGCGCTTTATTTTTATATATATTAATTATAATTAGTATTGGTTGAAATATTGATGATACTATGGAATAAGGGGCTTGGTTAGACACATTAATTCTGAATATGACAGTGAAAACAGAAGAAAGTTAAAACATGTTGCACAGTAAGATAACCTAGCTTGTATAATTTCAGAGCTGCAGTTATGCCACTGTTTGCCTTGAAAGAAACATAAATAACTGTATATTGTTTTTATTACTATTTTGTTGCTTATAGAAAATGTGGATGCAGAAGAAGCAAAATCTATCTTTGAGGCCAACTTCAGTCATATCTATTACGTCTTATATGACACTTTTGTGACTGCAGAGACAAACTTGCGGCAACGAGGTACTGTAAAGTTTTTGTCACAATTTTTATTGTGGAAAGATAATATTAAAATTGATCTTAGGGAAATAGAGTTTGGGGGCATGGATTGGATTCATCTGGCGCAGGATAGGGAGTGGTGGTGGGTTGCTATGAACATGGGAATGAACCATTGGGTTTTATAAAATGTGGGGACTTTCTTGACTATCTTAGTGTACTGTTGGCTTCTCAAATTGGACTCCACTCTGTGGAGGTAGTTAGTTACTTAATTAATTTTTTATGTTTCTGTCATATATTATCTTAAATTTATCACTTTGGTGACAATGCATGCCATAACAAAACAAAGGTTCCATGTTTAAGATAAGTGCATGATAATTTTGACTTCATATATGAAACACAGTTTGATGATAAAAAATGCAAATATTCAATTCCCTTACATTACTATTACAAATATTGTTTTTAAAATCTGTTGACACCGTCTACATTCAGAAACTATGTTTCCTTATGTTTTGTTAAATATTTAATGTGCAAAAAAATGTTTTAAATAAAAGTTTAAAAATACATAATGTCTTTGGCATTGAGCTATTTTTGAGAAAATAAAATTCAGCTTGAGAAGGGTTTATATCTTACTGATAATGACTAAAACTTTGTTGCAACCCCCCCCCTCCCCATTATTAAAATGCAGTTAGTATTTTCATAAATGAAGCATGCACGAAAGTGCTCAGTTTATGAAAAGAATCTATAAACATCATCTCTTATGCATTTTGTTCATACATCATCAGGTTTTCGTATGTTAGGCCTCATAGCATGTTATGACTGGTATCATTGTTTAAGAAGTCTTCCCCCGTCCTTCTTTCGGTCACCCTCGGTTCCTACTGACGAGGCTGTTGTTGCCAAGTCCGAGCAATGTTGTAACTGCTTTACTAGGTATACAGGAAATAATGTATGTACAAGTTTCTTCGTAGTCAATGGGATGACAGCTAATTGCATGAACTCACCATCCTTTCAGGTGGTGTCATGAGCAACAAACTAACTTTTATGAGTATTTATAATATATTATTATTATGCAAGCTGGCCATTGAATTACTGTGAAGGATTTGATATAAACAGTTCTGTAGTCACTGTAGCAGCCACAGCATCATATTCAACCATCGCTGTTTCCAATATTTTTGTACCAAATGGAGATGAGTTGCCATCTTCATGCCTAGACTGCTTTACCCCCAGGGAAAGATCCCCTTATACCCACTGGATAGGAGATGGGTGCACATCATGGTGATGAAAAGAAAAATTCCTGCCCCTTACAGGAATTGGTTACCAGTCACTCAGCCGATAGTCATTCTCTTTATTGACTTTGGTATCCAGAGTTTTTAGGGCTGTTATGCATCTAACATTATGAATAGTGTGTGTTGTCTCGTGGGCTTTTACTTCCAGAAGTGCCACATGTGAAGTAAGATTTGGTTTTGGTTTTTTCACAGTGGACTGTTGTAATTTATTTATAATATGATAATGAAAGCAATTTATATTTTTCTTTATTGAGATGAAATCTGTATATTTTGCTTTTATAGCATTAATGTGTAACAACATCTGTTAATTGTCCCATCTTTTTATGTAGTCAGTTCAGTATGCCTCAAAAGTTTAACAGTTTTAGTTTCTCTGTTTTATCACGGTGATGTGAAGCATTTATCATTAATAATGGCCGACATTGGTTTTGTTTCGTGTGTAAGTGGGCACTTGCTTACAGGTAAAGAATGACTAAAAATTTTGAAAATATTTGTATTAAAAGTAAATATTCCCTTCTACCCATTGTGTTAGTCAGGATAGCTGGTCCTTGGGCCAAGAATTTAATTAAGATTTATTCCAGAATTTGTTTGGAAAGGCTGGAGAAGACCATTGAATGCACTGGAAAAGCTGTATCCCGGGCTGATATATGAACTGCATACCTCTTGAACACAAACATGACAACTGTTGCTCAGCCAACCTGCTCACTGTTAGTATTATGGATTAGTGGCTGATGGAGACTGAGCAGTGAATGTGAATGTGTTAAATTGAGTTGCTTATACATTGTAGACTGTGATCTGAACATAGCAGTAGTTCCTGATGATATGCAGTCTCAAGGTTGTGTTTATGTCTTTAGTAAGACAACGTAAATTGAATTTTGGGCAGAGATCCAGATTTCTTCAGAACTTATAGTGTAATCAAAGAATTATGTCGGAAATAAACATTCTAAATACTTTGTTCAGGTTCTCTTGTCATATTATAATGTTTTCTATCCGGTATGTACATGTGTGTGTCTACCTATCTGGGAGGATATTGGTATATGGATTTTAAACAGTTGTTCCTATTTTTTATGACTCCTTTTTAGGCATTTCTACAGGTCACATAGTATTGTAAGGATAGTATAAGTCTATGGGACATTAGTGGACTGGGCATGTTGCTTGGATGGAGGAGACACAGAATTTTCATAGGGAATTCTGTTGAAAAATATTTACTTGGAAGACTGAGAAGGAGATGGGTAGATAATACTAATATGAGTGAAAGTTGTGTGGGTGGGAGATAGAACTGGCTTAGGATTATGTACATTGATGGTGTTTGGTGTTAATAGTATTGCTTCATAAGATTCATTACACACAAAAAAACCCAATTATTATTGCCTTCTGTGTATTTTCTGTATGTATAAAAATCTGTTTACCTGTCTGTCCATCTGTCATATCTTTTAACTCCAGAAATTGTGTGTTGAATTTTGTTAATACATAATTTTAATTTGGCCATTATCATCCAAAAATGAACATTAAGATCTAAATAAACTTTTATATTTGTATTTTTTTTATTTAATGGTTTTGTGTAATTTGTGTAGGTTGTATTGCAGTGAATGACAGATGACAGGATGAATATGAAAGATGAATTTGTTGGTGTTATATGTATATATGAAGTAATTATCTTGGTGCTTAGTTTGCTACATTGCCCATTAAAGATGTACTTTTTGAATGCAAGAGTAGTTCTTGAATTTTCCTTGAACTTTATTTTATAGACAGAACACATGGGGCATTGTACCAGTATTATAATAGATTATTTATAAAAACAGAGCTGTGACTTCATAATTCAGTAAGCAGCAATAGATGAAGTACCGTAGCTGGGAAAAGTATCTAGAAGTCAGTTATCTGGTTACACTTAAGTATGTGGGAAGTAAGAGTTGAATTTCTTTCGCCACATAACCTTGAAGACAATAGAAATGGTTTGGGATATGAGAAAGATGGAGAAATATAATTAGGTTTTCTCAAGTGTAAAGATAGTTATCATAGTAGTAGCAGGAAGGGAAGAGGATTGCCCTGCAGTAGCCATTCAACTTGAGGTTGCAAGCAACATTTCCGTCTTGTATATGATTTGAGTTAGTTGCGAAAGAGTGGAGTATACTTCTCTGCTTTTATAATGCTTTTACCTGATTGCATGCATTAATACTTAAGTCTGTATGGCTACTAACTTTTCAGAATTGAATGTTTAACTGGAGTATGTAGTGGAGTGTAGTAATACAATAAATATTCTTAAGAATTTTTATGTTGTTCCTTGTACATCTTTACAGAACAAGTTTTTAATATGCTTACTCAAATTAAAATATTTTGAATTTTTTTTTATTTATTTGGTATAACTGATGCAGTTGAGAAATCTTATTAAATAAAACAAGGCTCAGTACAATTTATGCTAATAGGCTTATGTAGATGATGCTGGGACTTATTATTAATGAATTTGGAAGAATTTTGGATGAATCTCATAATAGCTACTTTAAGGTATTAAAATTAAAAATACAAAACTCAAGAGACCTGGTGTTTTTTTTGAAACAGCATGAACAGCAGAGCAGAACACATTACTGTAGCTCACTCTCTTATTGAACAAGAAAATGAAATTTTTGTGGTGTGTCTATCTCTGCTTCCACGAAATTATTGTAATTTCAAGGTCATGACTTTTTTGATGTTAATGCTATTTCTGGGTTTATAGGAAATGTGTACAATTATAAATTTGTTACATCACAAAATTTCTGAATGGTTACTAAAGAATTGAGTAAATGATTGTAATATTTATTATTATGTGATGGTTATGGGCTGGATGACTGAGATTTGATTCCTGGCAGATCAAAGAATTCTGTTCGGCACCATGTTCAGACTGGTTCTGGTGTCTCCTGTCCAGCAAGTACTGGGTGCATTCTACCTGCGAATAAAGTGGTTGGAATGTGAAGCTGATCACGCAGTTCTGTCTGGTGTCAAGGTTTAGAATGTCTGGAGCTATATTCCCTGTGTCTTCATGGTGTGCTGCTTTGGTACAAGGGCCACTTTCTTTACCTGTACCTTTTATTATTTTTGTTGTTGGTTTCTGTTTTCTCAATTTTCTTACTTAGACTGCAGTTATTTTTTTAAATATAGGACATTGAGTGTTACATGTTTTTTTTTCAGATTTCTATATAACCTGCTTTTGATATTGCTATCCTCATGTTATGTTTGATGAACAGTTCACATGTTAGGATTGCTGATGTGTTAATCTGTGTTACAATACTGAAGTCTTGTTTGTTTTGCTTTGTTAGAACATGAGTAAAATATAAATTTGATGTGTATGTTTTTTGTCACTAATATAGATAACAGTTGTAATTATAAAAGCCATGACATTTAGAGTGCCTTTTTACTAATATTTCTTTTAACTCTTTGCTATGCAACAGATTATTACTTAGAATATGTAGGTATATGGCTACTAGGGAAGTCAGTTTGTATACAGAACTTACTTGTATTAAGAAGTAAGTGTTTCACCTTTGTTGGACTTGCTGCAAACCCTATTCACATACATTTATCCTCCTTTTTTTAGAATTGTCTTTAAATTTCTGTGAACTTTTAAAATTAATCTACTTGTTTATTTAATCAATACTCTCAGTGTATTTTGTTTTTATTTACTTTTTTCATGATCAGTTCTATTTCATATGCAATTTTAATTTTTAATTTACTCTTTTGGAAATATGTTTTGTATGTGGGTGTCAAAATGTTATGCCGACAGTTAAAATATTCTTGAAATAAGTACATTATCAGAAATTTAATGAGCACAAAACTGATTTACACTTGGCTTCTAAAATTTTTATTTAGTGCCATGAATGCTAACAGATTCATTTAGCTCAGGTCATTGTTTCAGACGTATGTAGAACTATAATGAAGTTTGGTTTTAGGGTAGCCAGATACTTGTTGATTATGACATGAAATTATACTGGTGTCACAGTTAGTATATGCATTGACATCCCTAGTATTATACAAATATAATTTCTCACCAGAATTTCACTTACATCATCTTTACCTTTGCTTTGCAGAACTGTCTTTTCATCTTGGTAAGTAATTGGCATGTGTATCACACTTGAAACAGTATGAAGTATGCTTATATTAATATTCTTACTGACTTTTACTGTAACATGTACTGCAAATTTTATAGTTGTGCTTGGCAGTAGTTCTAGCAGTATTGCACATGGTAAGTTAGAGAGTTTCTGTTATCTGTCAGCATCTTCAGCTATTCTGTCCATTGTTTTCTGTATTCAGAGTTTTATTGTTTTCAGCAAAATTTACATTTATAGGTAACATCGTTGCAGACTTAAACTATTCTACAGACTGTAACTTATAAATGTCTAATTTGACTATTTATGTGTTTCTAACATTAAGTAGAAATTTATAAATACAATATTTTTATTTTCTGTCTATACACAAACTTAAAATAATGTTGTTTAAAATTATCTAAAA